CCGGGGCGGCGGGGCCTCGCCGTCGACCGCGCCTTCGCGGCGATCGCGCCGGGCGGCCCGCGGCCGGGGGCCGTCGACGCGCACCGCCTCGCGCTCTACCGGTGCCTCGGCCAGCTCCTCGGCCTCGCGCTCCGGACACGCGTCGCCGTGGGCGCCGTCGACCTCCCCCGGGCGCACTGGGCCGACGTCACGGGCGCCGGCGCGGACACGCGCGACCTCGCCGACGTCGACGCCGCCGCCGCGCAGGCCGCGGCCGCGCTCGCGGACCTCGGCGCGCTCGGCGTCACGAGGGACAACTTCGACGCGCTCCTCGGCGACCTCGACGTCCGCTTCGTCGTCCCCATCGCGTCCGGGGGCGCCCTCGCGGCCCTCGCGCCGGGCGGCGAGCACCGGCGCCTCGCCTTCGACGACGCGCCGGAATTCGGGGAGGCGCTCGCGGCCGCGCGCCTCGGGGAGCACGCGGCCGCGGTCCGCGCGCTCAAGGCGGGCTTCGAGGCCGCCGTGCCGCGGCGCGTCCTCGCCCTCTACGCGGCCGACGAGCTCGCCCGGGACCTGGCGCGGCCGCCGCCAGAGCTCGGGGACGTCGACGACGACGACGCCGCGCCGGACGACGCCGCGTAAGGCGAACAACCACACCGCAGGTAGAGGCGAGACTAAGTCATGCCTCGATGACGTGCGACGTTTGTCACACCGTGGTGTCGCGTTCGCTCGGTGTCGGTCGACGCGTCTCAGACGCCCGGCCCAGATACACACGCCGACCTTGAAGGGCAATTTTAGCGGGCGTGGCGGCGGGAGCAGGAGTTAATTTAATTTTGAAAGTGAATTTTAATTTTCAGGGGGGGAGTGTTTCTAATTTTCACTCGGTGGGAGGAGTGATTTCGATTTTCATCGAAATCGGCCGCGCGCCACGCAAAAGTCCATCAGGGTGCTATTTCGAGGCGGACTTTGGTGAATCATCGTGTTCGGACTGTCGCGAACGCGAGACCGCGAAAAAAACGTCCGCGGGGCGAAAAATTTACCGCGGAAAAAATTCTCGACCTCCCGACGGCGATAGGCCGCGACTTAGTGTCGGACGCCGGCCCCCGACCGTGGAATCTCCATGCGTTCGCAACGGTCACAACACGATGATGCACCGAATTCCAGCTGGAAATAGCACCCTGATGGACTTTTGCTTAGCCGCGTCGCAGGGAGGAATCGAAGGGAGAGAGAACAGCGAAAGGAGGCGTAGGAAGGCGTCGCGGGAGGACACGACTAGGGCGGAGGCGTACGCGGGCACGGCGACGAAGAGGGCACGGCGACGAAGAGGGCACGACGACGTAGGACGGCTACTGCTCGTAGACTTTTGCGGCCGCGGTGTGGAGCGGTGCGCGATCGACGGTGTTCGCCGATCGCGACGCCCCTTAAAATTCAGTGAAGGCCAGCTACGACGGGGTTCGCCGAGGGGGGTCGCGCTCGGCGAGACCGTCGGTGGGGGGGCTAGCCGAGCTGGGAGTAGTCGTCGTCCAGCTCCGAGTAGGCCGACTCTGCGTCCAGCTGCGAGTAGGCCGAGTCTGCCTCCCCTTCCTCCTCCTCGCGGCGCGGCGCGGCCGGCCGCCGCGGCGGCGGCGGCGACGCCGCGGGGCCCGCCGCGGCGCCGCTCCAGGGCAGGGGCGCGACGCGCGCGTCCGGGTGGAGCGCGCTCGCGTGGCGGAGCTGCGCGCGGAGCCGCGCGTTCGTCGCGACGAGGTGCTCGAGCACCTGTGTGGAAATGAGCCGGTGAGCCGCGACGTCGCGGCCAGATTTCGACTCTCTCTCGCTCGGTCACATCGCCGTCGATTTGGCCAATGTTTGGACACGCGCGTGTCTCTCGTCGAGTTCTCCGCGGGGAGCGCGCGACCTCGTCGACACTGTCGAGTACGCTCACATGGAAGTCGTGCTGACTATTTAAGTTTCCCACACGGGCGCGCACAAAGCTCCAGGAGTCGACGTCGGCTTTCACGCTCGCGTCGCTTGCCGCGCGCCTGCGGTCAAAATCCGCCGGCGGTTCGGGTCGGGCCGCCCGGATTCGGGACGACTCTCGCTCGGTCGCGTCGACGCCGCCTCGGCCGGCGGTCGGCGCGAGTCGCGTCTGCTCGTCGAATTCGCGGCGACGCTCGCGCGGACGCGCGTCGAACCCCCCGCCCGGCGGTCTCGCGGCGACGTCGGGCGGAACGCGCGGCGTCGACGCCGCCGCGCGCGCGTCGAGGAGCGCGCCGAGGCTCGCGAGCGCGCCGTCCGCGAGCCGCGCCTCGGCGGCGGCGAGGAGCCCGGGCGCCTGGGACGCGGCGTCGTCGGGCCGAGTCCGAAGGGGCCCGCGGTCGAGCGGCGTCGGCCGCGCGCGCGGCGAGCGCGCGGCGCGAGGCGATGGCTCGTCCGCGCGTCGGCGGGCGCGGCGTCGGCGCGACCGAGGTCGGGGCGGGTCGGCCGCGCGGCCGGGCGAGCCCGGGTCGCCCGCCGTTCCCGGCGCGGGCGCGCGCGTCGTCCGGCGCCGCGGCCGCGCGCGACTCGAGGAACGCGCCCCGCGCGCCGTCGAACGCGCGGCGGCACGTGTCGCCCGTCGCGCCGTCGGCGGCGGCGGCGAGGGCCGCCGCGAGGGCCGCCGCCGCCGCCGCGACGCCGCGGCAGCGCGCCGCGAGGCCCGACGCGCGCGCGGGCGCCGCCGCGCCGGCGGCGCCGGCGGCCGCGCGCGGCCCGGCGGCCGCGTCCGCGCGGACGCGCGCGATCGTCGCTTCGAACTTGGCGCGCTGGCGCCGCTCGCGCGCGCCGGCCTCGGCCTCCATGGCCGCGAGGCGCGCGCGCATGCGCGCGCACTCGGCCGCGTAGTCGACGGCGGCGCCCGGCGCGCGCGCGGCGCCGCCGCCGCCGGCCGCGCCGCGCGGGCCGAGCGCGACGCGCGCGCAGCGGCTCGCGAACTGGAGCGTCGACTGCGTCTCGGCCGCGGAGCGGCGGCCCGGGCCGACGGTGGCGACGAGCGCCGTCTCCGCGGGGCCGCCTGGGCGGCGGACGGGTGGGACGGGCCCGGCGTCCGGGGCTCCCGGCCCGGTCGCGCGCCGCCCGCGCCGCCGCGCGCCGGGACGGGCGATCGTCCCTCGGAGCGCGCTCGACGCGTCGATCCGCTCGCCGGGGCGACCGCGCGGGGCGCGCTCGCGCGCGGCGCCGAAAAATCGCCCCGAGTCGGCCCCGGGGGCCGCCGAGGCTCTCCGCGAGGAGCCGCGTGAGCTTGCTGTCGCGGAAGGGCACCTGGCGCGCGGGCCGCGTCCCCGCCGCCGCCGCGCGCGCGCGCGGGCCGGAGCCCGCGCCGCCGGCGCCGGTGCCGCGCGTGCGCCGCGCGCCGGCAGCCGCCGCCGGCCGCGGCGTCGCCGCAGAGCGCGGCGATGACGTTGCCGAGCGCCTGCGCGCGGCGCGGTCGCGGTCGCGCGCGCGCCGCGGCGCCGCGCCGCGCCGCGAGCGACGCGTTGATGCTCTTGGCCTCGCGCAGCCGCGCGCCCGCGCT